TCACTTCAAGGATGCCATCCATCCATCTTGCCCTTGGTCAGCCCCTCTTCCTTTTTCCTTCCACTTTCCCCAGCATAATTGTCTTCTCTAGGCTTTCCTGTCTTCTCATTATGTGGCCAAAGTACTTCAACTTTGTCTCTAGTATCCTTCCCTCCAATGAGCAGTTGGGCTTTATTTCCTGGAGTATGGACTGGTTGGATCTTCTCGCAGTCCAAGGCACTCTCAGAACTTTCCTCCAACACCACAGCTCAAAAGCATCGATCTTCCTTCGCTCAGCCTTCCCTAAGGTCCAGCTCTCACATCCGTAGGTGACTACTACAGGGAATACCATGGCTGTGACTAGGCAATGGATCTTGGTTGCCAGTGTGATGTCTCTGCTCTTTACTATTTTATTGAGACTGGACATTGCTCTCCTCCCAAGAAGGAAGCGTCTCCTGATTTCCTGGCCTCAGTCTGCGTCTGCAGTCATCTTTGCACCTAGAAATACAAAGTCTGTCACGGCCTCCACGGTTTCTCCCTCTATTTTCCAGTTGTCAATCATTCTTGTTGCCATAATCTTGGTTTTTTTGATGTTTAGCTGCAACCCGGCTTTTGCGCTTTCTTCTTTCACCTTGATTAGAAGGCTCCTCAGCTCCTCCTCGCTTTCGGCCATCAGAGTGGTGTCATCTGCATATCTGAAGTTGTTAATGTTTCTTCCAGCAATTTTCACCCCAGCTTTGCATTCATCAAGCCCCGCACATCGCATGATGTGTTCTGCATACAAGTTAAAAAGGTTGGGTGAGAGTATGCAGCCTTGCCGTACGCCTTTTCCAATCTTGAACCAGTCTGTTGTTCCATGGTCAGTTCTTACTGTTGCTCCTTGGTCCTTGTACAGATTCCTCAGGAGAGAGAGAGGGAAGGGGGCTTGGGATGCCCATCCCACCAAGAACTTGCCACAATTTATGATGATCCACACAGTCAAAGGCTTTAGAATAGTCAATGAAGCAGAAGTAGATGTTTTTCTGAAACTCCCTGCCTTCCTCCATTCTCCAGCATCCGGATATTGGCAATCTGGTCTCTCGTTAAAGCATTCCAGTACATTGATCAGAGGCATATTTATAGCAAAATAAGTTTCCAGACTCCCTCCCTCTTTGGCTCCTTAGCCAATCAGGGAGAGGGAGGCAGGACGGAGGAGGGACGATGTGCCCAGAGAGGAGGATGACATTCCACTGTCCTGGATTTCCTGTGCCCGAGGGATCAGCAAGCCAAGGAAACTAGGTTTTTTTTTAGGTTCTTGTGGGTTTTTTCGGGCTATAGAGCCATGTTCTAGAGGCATTTCTCCTGACGTTTCGCCTGCATCTATGTTCTGCATCTAGTTTTTTTTTGTTCTTGTGATGGATCAGTGATTAGGGATAATCATTTGATTCAGGTTTTCCCCTTCCAGGATCAGATGAGGTGTGCTTTTTGATGGGTTCCTGGATGAAACAAACAGAGCTGGGCAAGAAGACCCTTGGGGCCAGTCTCACCCCTTTGTGATTAAATTAAAATGTACCTAAAGAAATTCCCTGTTTACCAGACCATCTCAGAAGATAAACAAAGAATGCCCAGTTGCCATTGTCCATGCAAGTGCCTGTGATGAGGCTGGTTTCGAGGGGGACAGCAGCCCTCCCTCAGGCACTGAGTGTTTCCTGGCCGCTTTCTGGGGCAAGGGGTGAAGCAGAAGGGCCAATAATATCCCATAGAAAGATGCATAGACATTGAAGCCATAGGCATGACATCGTCCAAAGATCCCATCCCTATCCCACCTCCCAAGTATATTTAATAAAAGACTTTGAGTCCAACGTTCCTGAGGAAAGTTCATGAGAAATACATGTTTCATGAAGTCCAATGTTTTAAAAGGTCTTTGAGGAAAGTTCATGGGGGAGAGAGTATGTACTGAAGTCCAAGACATGCAGGCAGAGAGTCCATGATCCTTGGGAGGCTGGCAGGTGAAACCCCAGCTGTGCTGCAACTGATTCACACTTTGGTCCTTGGGAAACTACAACTCTCACGAAGGGCAGAAGTCCCAAGATCCAGCCGTTCCCCAAAAGCCTCGTGGGGTCCTTGTTGTTGCTAGTGCCTTGGCAATGTGACCAAGACTTAACCCCTACTGTGCAGTCTGGTGACCTTGCCCTTGGCAGGACTACAAGTCACCACCCCCCACTCTGGGGAGGGGGTGCTCGGTTTCATGGGGAGCCCCAAAGGAGCCCCCGGTGGTGCAGTGGGTTCAACCCCCCCCCCCCCCCCCCCCCCCCGTGCCAGCAGGACTGAAGACTGGCAGGACGCAGGTTCGAATCCGGGGAGAGGCGGATGAGCTCCCTCTGTCAGCTCCAGCTCCTCATGCAAAGGGTACATGAGAGAAGCCTCGCACAAGGATGGTAAAACATCAAAACATCCGGACAACGTCCCAGGGGCAACGTCCTTGCAGACGACCAATTCTTTTTATTATTATTATTATTATTATAATAACTTTATTTGTACCCCGCTAGCATCTCCCAAGGGATTCGATGCGGCTTACAACAGGCCGAAGCCCAGCACAACACAATACAACAATGCAATACATAGCAAAATAAAAACAGTTAAAGCAGAAAACAATAGCAATAACAATACAACAGGACATTATTAAAAACTGAGCCGGCTGAGGTGGGGCACAGGGTTAATAGTGCTGAAAAAGTGTCGGGGGATATTAAAATCAAGTGCAGTGTGCGATGAGCAGTGATCTTGGCTCTACTAAAGTGCTTCTGGGGTTTGGTAGTGGGGTTCCTAATCTGAAAAGGCACGTTGGAACAGCCAGGTTTTCAGATTCTTTCTAAAAACCGCCAAAGTAGGGGCCTGTCTGAGATCTTTCGGGAGGGCATTCCAGAGGCGGGGGGCCACCACAGAGAAGGCCCTGTCCCGCGTCCCCACCAAACGCGCCTGCGAGGCAGGTGGGATCACGAGCAGGGCCTCTCCTGATGACCGGAGCGAGCGTGTGGGTTCGTAGACTGTGATGCGGTCTCGCAGGTAGGGTGGTCCCAAACCGTTCAGGGCTTTGTAGGTAAGCACCTGCACCTTAAATTGGGCTCGGAAAATAAACGGCAGCCAGTGGAGCTCCTTAAACAGGAGGGTTGACCTCTCTCTGTAATGAGCCCCAGTTAACATCCTGGCTGCTGCCCGTTGGACCAGTTGGAATTTCCGAGCCATTTTCAAGGGCAGCCCTACGTAGAGCGCATTGCAGTAATCCAATCTAGAGGTGACCAAGGCATGGACCACCCCGGCCAGATCAGCCTTCGCGAGTTACGGTCGCAGTTGGCGCACAAGTCTCAATTGTGCAAAAGCCCTCCTGGACACCGCCAATGCCTGAGCCTCAAGCGTGAGCGATGAATCCAGGAGGACTCCCAAGCTACAGACCTGTGGCTTCAGGGGGAGTGTAACCCCGTCCAACACAGGTTGCCACCCTATACCCCGGTCAGGTTTACGATCGACCAGGAGGACCTCTGTCTTGTCGGGATTGATCTTCAGCTTGTTCCTCCTCATCCAGATAGACACAGCGGCCAGGCACTCGTCCAGCACCCGAGAGGCCTCCTTGGAATTGGGTGGAAATGAGTAGTAGAGTTGTGCGTCATCTGCGTAGAGATGGCACCCAACTCCAAAACTCCGGATGACCTCTCCCAGCGGTTTCATGTAGATGTTGAAAAGCATGGGAGACAGAATGGAGCCTTGCGGGACCCCACAGGTCAAAGGCCAGGGGTCAGAGCAGGCGTCTCCCAGCTTCACCATCTGGGTTCGTCCCTCCAGGAAGGACTGGAGCCACGACAAAACCGTGCCCCCAAGGCCCATCCCAGAGAGCCGACCCAGAAGGATACCATGATCGATGGTATCGAAAGCCGCTGAGATGTCCAAGAGGACCAGCAGGGTTACACTCCCCCGGTCCAGTCCTCAATTCTCTCACAGTTTCTCAAGTTGCTCCTGACACGACAATTTTTTTTTCCAGGTGGAAGGTGGTCCTGGTCGGGGTTGGCTTGACGCGCCTACTTCCTCTTGGCACGTTCCTCTCTTTCACCCTCCATTCGGGCCTCTTCAAAATCTGCAGCACTGCTAGTCACAGCCAACCTCCAGCTGGAGCGCTCAAGGGCCAGGGCTGAATGCCGTGGGGATTTAGTTAACCAGTTAACATTCATGAGTAAACCAGGTTGTTTAAAAAAAAAAACCTGGAAAATTGAACCCCTAACACCCCCCCCCCACCCCCCCACCCCCACACACACAACCTGGCGACAGGCCTGGTTCTTGTTATGGTTGAACTCCAGCAAAGCCATCCAATGCTAATCAAGGTGGTCAGTTGAAACATTCACACCTAGCTCCAGCAGACAAGAGTCTTTTGTCCCACCCTGGTCATTCCACAGATATATAAACCCATTTTTCCTACTTCCAACAGACCTCACCCCTCTGAGGATGCTTGCCATAGATGCAGGCGAAACGTCAGGAGAAATGCCTCTAGAACATGGCTCTATAGCCCGAAAAAACCCACAAGAACCTAGTATTATAACCTCTCAACAAAAGATTGCTCCAGGCACTGCCAGGCCATCAAATGCTAATCAAGGTGGTCAGTTGAAACATTCTCCCCTAGCTCCAACAGACAAGAGTCCTTTGTCCCACCCTGGTCATCATTCCACAGATATATATCAACCCATTTTCCTAATTCCAACAGACCTCACTCCCTCTGAGGATGCTTGCCATAGATGCAGGCGAAACGTCAGGAGAGAATGCCTCTAGAACGTGGCCATATAGCCTGGAAAAACCTACAACAAGCCAGTGATTCCGGCCATCCCTGAGGGGCCTGAGGGGAAGGAGGAGGAGGACAACCAAGCCTCGGAAGGGGACGCTTCCCCTTTAAACATGCAAATGAGCTCCCGCCCCGCCCGCCAGTCAGAGTCCTCAGCGGGCGGCCAATCAGGGAGGGAGTGAGAGGGGTGACGTCACGCGGTGCCCGCCCCCTTTGGCAGCGGCCGCCATTTTGAGAGGAAGAGACGGAGCGGCGGCGGCGGCGGCGGCGGAGAGTGAGGCGAGCAGGTGAGGCGCCATTCTTGGCGGGGTGGAGTGGCCCCTCAGGCCCAGCCGGGGTTCCTCCTCCTCCTCCTCTTTGGCGGCCAAGTGCTCGCCCTGCCCGGAGGGAGAGAGAGAGAGGGAGAGGGGGGGGGGATCAGGCTAAACATGCCCAGCTCCTTAAGCCGCTCCTCATAGGGCTTGTTCTCCAGACCCTGGATCCTTTGAGTCTCCCTCTCTCTCACCCCCCTCTCCCTCCACTTAGGCAGGAAAAACGAAATGCAAAGAGACAGAATGGGGGGCGAGGAGGCCTGGCTCGAGAGCAGGACAATGTGGGGAAAAGAGTCCTCGTGGGGAGGAAGAAGGGGAACATGGGCCAGGAATGGGATGATGTGGCGGGGAAAAAAGCCAAAGGGATGCTGGCCTCAGGCATCAAGAGGAGGAGGAGCCGAGTGCCTAGGTCCAGGGAGGAAGTCCTGCTCCCCAGGCTCCATTCTGCCTTGGTTAGACCATACCTGGAATCACATTGTGTCCAATGCTGGGCACCACAATTCAAGTGAGATATCGACTCTAAGCTGGAATACTGTGTCCAGAGGAAGAGGGCGACTCAAATGATCAAGGGTCTGGAGAACAAGCCCTATGAGGAGCGGCTTAAGGAGCTGGGCATGTTTAGCCTGGAGAAGAATCATAGAATCCTAGAAGAGTTGGAAGAGACCCCCTCCTGGGCCCTCATCCAGTCCAACCCCATTCTGCCAAGAAGCAGGAATATTGCATTCAAAGCACCCCTGACAGATGGCCATCCAGCCTCTGTTTCAAAGCCTCCAAAGAAGGAGCCTCCACCACACTCTCTCCGGGGCAGAGAGTTCCACTGCTGAACGGCTCTCACAGCCAGGAAGTTCTTCCTCATGTTCAGGTGGAATCTCCTCTCTTGTAGTTTGAAGCCATGGCTCCATTGCGTCCTAGTCTCTCTCCAGGGAAGCAGAAAGGAAGCTTGCTCCCTCCTCCCCCCTGTGGCTTCCTCTCACATATTTGGCTCTCATCATGCCTCCTCTCATCCTTCTCTTCTTCAGGCTAAACATGCCCGGCTCCTTAAGCCGCTCCTCGTAGGGCTTGTTCTCCAGACCCTTGATCCTTTGAGTCTCCCTCCTCTGGACACAGCATTCCAGCTCTTGAATTGTGGTGCCCAGAATTGGACACAATGTGATTCCAGGTAATGTGGTCTAACCAAGGCAGAATAGCAGAGCCTGGGGAGCAGGACTTCCTCCTGGACCTAGGCACTCGGCTCCTCCTCCTCCTCCTCCTGATGCCTGAGGCCAGCATCCCTTTGGCTTTGTTAGTCGCCACATCCCATTCCTGGCCCAGGAGGAGGAGGACTCCAAGGTCTTTTCCCCACATTGTCCTGCTCTTTGTTTTTCCTGCCTACCGCTTTAGGACTGCTTGTATGTCTCTGTCAACGCCCCACCTTCTGTCTCTTGTTCATGCCTATTTGTCAAACTTTAATTACATTTGGCCCAGCCGTGGATTTTAAATGTGCACTGTATTTTGTTCAATGTTTATGCTTTTTGTGTTATGAGCTTTGTATTGTATTTGTTATTGCTTGTATTGCCCAGTTTTATAGTGTCTCTTGATGTATTGTTTATTGCTTGTGGTTTAATATTGCTTTAACCGTTTTTAATTTGCTTTAGGTGTTGTATTGTTGTATTGTGTGTTGAGGCCTCGGCCTGTGTAAGCCGCATCGAGTCCTTTGGGAGATGCTAGCTAGCGGGGGACAAATAAAGTTAAAAATAATAATAATAATAATAATAATAATAATAGTATTGTGAGCTTGGCCTCATGTAAGCCGCGCCGAGTCCCATGGGGAGATGGTAAAAAAGGTAAAGGTCGTCCCCTGACATTAAGTCCAGTCATGTCTGACTCTGGGGTGTGGTGCTCATCTCCATTTCTAAGCCGAAGAGCCAGCGTTGTCCATAGACACCTCCAAGGTCATGTGGCCGGCATGACTGCATGGAGCGCCGTTACCTTCCTGCCGGAGCGGTACCTATTGATCTACTCACATTTGCATGTTTTCAAACTGCTAGGTTGGCAGAAGCTAGGGCTGACAGCGGAAGCTCACGCTGCTCCCCGGAATCGAACCTGCGACCTTTCGATCAACAAGCTCAGCAGCTCAGTGCTTTAACCCACTGCGCCACCGGGGGCTCCTTGGGGAGATGGTAGCGGGGTATAAATAAAGTTGTTGTCATCATTATCATCATCATCATCATCATCATTATCATTATTATTATTATTATTATGATTATTATTATGATTATTATTATAGAGGCCAATATTCTGGGGGGAAATCCAGGTGAGAAAGCACCCTTGTTTATTATTATTATTATTATTATTATTATGATTATGATTATTATCGTATGCCAATGATCATGATGCACAGACACAGGTGTTCTCAGGGAAAAAATAAACCCAAAGCCCTGCATTTAAAAATAAAATAAGAAATGTTTGGGACTCTATTGAAGAGAAGGATAAATAGAAAAAAGGAAGGGATAGATAGATGGAGAGGGAAGGAAGAAGAGAGAAGGGGGAAAGATTAATGACTACAAGGAAAAAGAAAGAAGGAAGGAAGGAGGGAAATATGAGTATAAAGAAGAGATGGAAAAGGGAGAACAAAGGGAGGGAGGGAGGGAGGAAGAGAGAGAGAAGGAAGGAAGGGACAGATTAAAACAGATTAATGTTGAAAAGACACTGGTTCTGGTTATTGAGCTTTGCTCTGATTCCTTTTAATGATATTTTGGTATTCTACTGTTTTTAATTGTTTAATTAGATTGTTGATTGTATTGTTTTAATAATAATAATAATAATAATAATAATTAGGTTCTTGTAGGTTTTTTCGGGCTCTATGGCCATGCTCTAGAGGCATTTCTCCTGACGTTTCGCCTGCATCTATGGCAAGCATCCTCAGAGGTAGTGAGGTCTGTTGGAACTAGGAAAATGGGTTTATATATCTGTGGAATGACTGGGGTGGGACAAAGAGCTCTTCTCTGCTGAAGCTAGGTGTGAATGTTTCAGCTGACCACCTTCATTAGCATTTGAAGGCCTGGCTGAGCCTGGGAAAATGTTTTGTTGAGAGGTGTTAAGATGTGCCTGGTTGTTTCCTCTTTGCTGTTTTAATTTTAGAGTTTTTTAATACTGGTAGCCAGATTTTGTTCCTTTTCATGGTCTCTTCCTTTCTGTTGAAATTGTCCACATGCTTCTTGTGGATTTCAATGGCTTCTCTGTGTAGCCTGACATGGTGGTTTTGGAGTGGTCCAGCATTTCTGTGTTTTCACATAATAATCTGCTGTGTCCAGGCTGGTTCATCAGGTGCTCTGCTCTGGCTGACTTCTCTGGTTGGAGTAGTCTGCAGTGCCTTTCATGTTCCTTGATTCATGTTTGGGCAATGCTGCGTGTGGTGGTCCCTATGTAGAGTTCTTGTCCACAGCTGCATGGGATACAATGGTAGACTCCTGCAGAGGTGAGAGGATCCCTCTTGTCCTTTGCTGAACGTAGTAGCATTTGTTGGATTTTCTTGGTGGGTTTGGAGATTCAGCAGAGAGCTCTTGGCCCCACCCCAGTCATTCCACAGATATATAAACCCATTGTCCTAGTTCCAACAGACCTCACTATTCCCTCTGAGGATGCTTGCCATAGATGCAGGCGAAACGTCAGGAAAAATGCCTCTAGAACATGGCCCTATAGCCCGAAAAAACCTACAAGAACCTAGTGATTCCAGCCATGAAAGCCTTCGACAATACAATAATAATAATAATAATAATAATAATAATAATAATATACTTTATTTGTACCCCGCTACCATCTCTCCAAAGGACTCTGTGCAAATACAACAATAAACAAAAGCAACAGTAATACAAAACAATAAATACACCCACAGGCAGAAAATAAGCAATAAACATTAACGATAACACGACGCGCGTTTAAAAACCTATGGCTGGGCCAGATGTAATAATTAAATTTTTAAAAAATAATGCTGGGCATGACAAGGTGACATATAACTAGGATAGAAGTTTTGGAGAGGGATGAAATGTGCAGACAAACTCAGATCACTAATAAAGTGCATTTAGGGACATATTGCGGGGAGTTTTGAATGTGTTTTTACCTGTTCTACTCTGTAGTTACTGGCTTGGTCCCACTTGCCAGCCGCCCGAGTCCCTTCTGGAAGATGGTGGAGGGATATAAATGTATTATTATTATAGGTTCTTCTGGGTTTTTTCGGGCTCTATGGCCATGTTCTAGAGGCATTCTCTCCTGACGTTTCCCCTGCATCTATGGCAAGCATCCTCAGAGGTAGTGAGGTCTGTTGGAACTAGGAAAAAGGGTTTATATATCTGTGGAATGACTGGGGTGGGGCAAAGAGCTCTTCTCTGCTGGAGCTAGGTGTGAATGTTTCAACTGACCAACTTCTTTAGCATTTGAAGGCCTGGCTGAGCCTGGGAAAATCTTTTATTGAGAGGTGTTAAGTTGTGCCTGGTTGTTTCCTCTCTGCTGTTTTGCTGTTGTAATTTTGGAGTTTTTTAATACTGGGAGCCAGATTTTGTTCATTTTCATGGTCTCCTCCTTTCTGTTGAAATTGTCCACATGCTTGTTATTATTATTATTATACTACTTTTCTACCCCGCCCTTCTCACCCCAGTGGGGACTCAGGGGGACTTACAGTCCATATCATACAATACCGCATTACATATATAATAATAAACATAACATATCAATTTAAACAATTAACATATCAATTTAAACATACAGTAAGAAAACATGAGATAATAATGTATTGTCGAAGGCTTTCATGGCCGGAATCACTGAGTTGTTGTAGGTTTTTTTCGGGCCATATTGCCATGTTCTAGAGGCATTCTCTCCTGACGTTTCGCCTGCATCTATGGCAAGCATCCTCAGAGGTTGTGAGGTCTGTTGGAAGTAGGAAGAAGGGGTTTATATATCTGTGGAATGACCAGGGTGGGACAAAGGACTCTTGTCTGTTG